TGATCTTAATTTTTGGAGCTTTCGTGACTGCAGGAATCATTATTTTGTTCACTTAAACAAAGCAAACGTTTTTATATTAGAACATATATTAGAGAAATGAAACAAGAGAGCAGCCAGACAGTCGTATCAATGCTCCCATGTTTTATATGGCAACAGACAATGGGAAATATTTGTAAGGTGTTTTATTGGTATTTTTTTTTACATTGGTCACTTGGGTGTTGTTTTTGTCAGGGTCAGCCAGGCAAACGAGGACGAACAGGTAGGACAGACGCTTTTAAATTTTCATGTTTATAATTTTACGTGTGTATTTTCCCATTGCTGTTGGATCTAACAACTGGTGTCGTGTGTGCATTAAAAGGGGCAGCCAGGTGCAGATGGATTTCAAGGTTTACAGGGCTCTCCGGGAGAAACGGGTCCACCAGGACCAAGAGGACCTGAGGTTAGAATGTATAACCCAATGTTCTCTTTCACAGCTGGGCAAAAGTATCGCTCAAAAAAGTGATTTCTTGCTCAAATGAGCATTGAGGCAATGCTAATCTCCTGTTTACATCCCAGATCCAGTGGTGGAAGTTCCAAGTTTCTATGGTGGGGGCGAGTCTCTATAGAACAACAACTGTTGACTTATCTAACACAGTGGTACTCATTCTAATGACCCTGGAGGGATGATGGGCTGACTCAACCCCCAAATCGGATATGAACTTGCTACCTTTCGATTCCAAGCCTTTCACTCTACTGCTGAGAAATATTTGGATAGAAAGAATCACCACCACTTGAAAATGTAATAGATTTCAAGAGAGTAAGATTGATTTCCAGTTCATTGTTTAAGCTCAACTGGGAGTTGTCTCTGAACAGGTTGAAGGGTAATTGTTATTGAATTAATAAAGGCTGAATAAATGTGATGTGATTTCACCAATTACAGGGTAACAAGGGCGATGCTGGGCTGCTGGGGATGCCAGGCGCTCGGGGTCCTCAGGGTCTAAAGGTTAGATAGCAGCTCGACTTTATTCACTGCTTGATGTCTAGCTTTGAAAAAGTAGCCCGAATGTAAATTCTGCATGAATAAAATAATCAAGCTCTTTCCCCTCGCTTTATGCGGGTTCGGTCAGTGCTATTTCGCGAATATGTGGCTAACCCATTTCTACCCAAAATACTCTATATGCGGTTAGAATTTACTAGTATGCGGCTATGCGGCTGGACGTGGGACAACATTGTTTGTGTACTGCATCCGTGGTATACTCGGCAGACATCTACTACTACATTAAGTGAGGGAAACCTGTACACACTGTGAACATGTGACATGTGCGGTGTGATTAGAATGTGGCTCGGACATCCTTCTAAGAGTCTGAATCCTGAAACCCTTGCCTATGGGAACCCCTCTGTAATAATATACGAAATTAAGGTTGTATTACATTAGAAGAAACACTGACAGTAATCATGATGTATTATTTCATTACAGGGAGAGCCGGGGCTTAAAGGAGATACGGTGATGGAACGCATATCCCTGGCACCACTTTAAATGCTATTACAGCTAATGAACACAACGTTCAGTAAAACTTTGTAGTTAGAATTCATGTTGTTTAATTGTGTTTTCGAAATAATTTTCAATCTCTAGGGTCTTGTTAATAGTCTGTCAATTTTTGTTCCATTCCTCAGGGTGTTGGGAAAAAGGGGATCATGGGATTCAGGGAGAAAAGGTAATATATTTTTGGAACACATTTATTTTGTATTACAGAGACCTTGGTGTGTGAGAGCTTGGTTGACTGTAAATTTCTACTGAGTCAAATGCCTTTTTATACTCTACAATGGCTAGGCATAATGGTATATGATATTCATCAGTCTTGGTCTAAATTTGCAATAATAGTCGTGAACAATGTATATGTTTGACAGGAGGCTAATGGGTCTGCAATTCTTAATGTCAAATTTCTCTCCAGTTTTAAATAGATTGATTGAGGCAGCAAGAGGCACAAAGGGGAACATGGATCAGAGAATGCAAATTAGAGACATTGTCGTGGTTGTTGACTTGAGACTGCCGATGGAGTCGCAGCTAAAGGAGGATATCCACTGCAGAGGTGGAGATGGTTCAGCTGATGTGCAGGAGTTTGATGGATTGTTGTATCATGAGACCATGAGGGATGGCGACAACTTTGAGAGGCCATCTAACAGCTGACATAGTATTTCTGATCGTCATTATATAAGAGAATAAATATATTATCATGCAGTTTTGAAAAGTATATCTCTTTGGTCTTCCCGTGCAGGGAAGCACAGGGGTGCATGGGATGATTGGACCGAAGGTAACGCATTCTATTCCATTAACAATAGTGTATTTTGTATTTGCTCAGGAAAATTATTGTCTGAGTCTTAACACGCAGGAGCATTCCTATTTATTTCTGAATTATTTTTAGTCGAGTCATTTGCTTTGTGTTGGAGTAAACTGGAATACCTAAAGACGATAAATGCACACAAGGGGATAACACTCGTAAATTTGTTCACACAGTCACGAACCTACTTGCTTTGCTGCCCGGCAGAGGATATTTTGTAGGCTCACACGTGGTAAACTTTGCATTTTCAAGGGTCCTGGGCCATGGATGTGGCCAGCGTGCCCGACTGGAACGTTTCCACAGCCATGCCCGGCCATGTTGATGTTTGTCCACGTGTTGCAGGGCGATGGGGGGCCCAAGGGGGACGATGGACCTCCAGGACGAAGGGGTCCCATGGGCAAACCTGGGAAGCGTGGCAAACACGTAAGCATTATTATCGCAACAGGATGTATATATACCTTGTTTCTAAACTGGTTCCTGTAATATATGATGTGCAATGCTCCCCTCGGCCTCATCAAAACGTGTCCTACATATATATATAAACTGTTACATAACAGGAATCTTCTCAACTTATTTTAATTACACTCATTTAGCAGCTCATTATTAATGGCTTGGTAGGGCACACTGCTGTAAAATGGCATTAGAAAGGTTTTTTTTAATGTAATGTAAAAATTGCATGCAACATAACATTAACAAATTATGCTTTAGCACAACCCCTTTGTCTCAAGGCAGGCTAAATTATTGTTCAATGAGCATTGGGCAGGGTTGATAGTGACCAGACGCCAGTGGTGGAATTTAAATGTTACTATGTGATGGAAGTCAATCTGTCCATTGTGCTCATGGACCACGCTATGTGACCTCCGCCCAGAGTTAATCCTTGTGTTGTTCTGCAGGGCTCCAAGGGAGACTTGGGCCCACGTGGGCCCCCAGGAAACCAAGGGTCCCCAGGCCCTCCCGGCATCTCTGGCCCCTTAATGAAGGCAGATGGTATGTGTGTGAACGGGTGAATGTGTTCATGTGCTATAGCCGCTAGACTTAATCCCGCCGTTTGGCATGTTCTTTATCATGTTTCTAAAATTATTGTTCAAACTGATGAGATTGTTAGTAATTTGCATATCGATTGGTTTCACACTGTGTGAAGTATTATGATTTGCAGTAAATATGAATTTATCAGGTTTGTGTTGAGCTTAGACAATATTGATAAACAATTGAAGATGCATAAAGCTTTGTTTCAGTTGGGGACTAAAACACAGTGGCTGAAAGAAAAACATGTTCACGGACTGAACTCCCATGAGAGAATTTGATTAAACGAGGAAAAATATCAATAGCACTTAGTCGAATGAATGGTGGTTTGCATCAGACCAGCAAATGAAAATGGGCAAGCCCTTTGATGAAGAGCGCCATGCATAATCTAAGTCAACTGAGCTGTGTGACTCATCCAGTCAGGATATGCTGCGTTACTGAACGCTCTTGTTAGCTTATGGAAAGGCAATATTTCATTTTGGCCACATTTTATGTGTTGAAAGCATGTCAATAGAAATATATCTCTTCATTAAAGATATACAACTTTATAAAATGTATGGTGTGATACACAAATAGTGGAAAGTTACTAAAGCAAGCTTCATATTTTCCAAATTTTCCTGTTGTATTGTGTTTAGTTTTATGATTATAACAGCATTTTATCAGTACACATTTTCTCTCTAATAATTGTTGAGTTGGTAAATGTGTTTCCAGAAAAAATACTGTGCACATTTAAAACCTAAGTTTTGGAGCCAATTCATGTGTCGTTGTGTAAATAAAAACTTATTACAAATTACAATTAGCCAGGCAGTTGGTGAATCGGAAAATATTGCAAAATTCCCTTCCCATGGGCATCGAAGTGAAATGTCCTATCTTGCCAACAGAATGCAGTACAGAAAAGTATGGGATAGAGTGTTGCCCCCTCACGAGAGTGCGTTTTCTCCAGGTGTTCCGGTTTCCTCGCGAATTTATAAACTCTCACTACTTAGCTGAAAATGTATTAATATATAGAGAACTGCAAAGCACTTGTTGGCTACATCTCATGCCTGACAGCCCTCCAGCTTATATGTGGTTCCTCAAACAAACAACGCTATATAAAACTAATCAATCGTTTTTGTTCGATCATTGTATGGTTAAAAACTCAAAACATGCATTTTTAGTGCATACCATTTATAGCTGAAATGTTACTTGTGCAGATTTTCCCCCCTTTTCTTATAGGTGTTTGTGTGCGAATGTAGGTGGTCAGATGCACGGGAGAAAGGGAGAGCGAGGGCCTCAAGGACAGCCTGGACCACCAGGAAAGTGCCTGTGTCCTCATCTGAACCCCAAGACTCAAAATCCAATGGTTCAATCAGGTGTACAACCTTTTCCTACATTACCAACTGTAAGTGACTCTGGAAGTAAAATTCACTCATTCACATGTTTTTTAAGATTATTTAAACTCCCCACCAAATTGCATTTATCATGAGCTACCACAAGAATACATGCATTGGTGATTTTACATGCGAGAGTGTAAAGGTCCACTGTATGCGCACATTTTGAGGGTTTGCTCCTGTGAACCTGTACACGTTGTACTTTGTAGGTGTATGTAGTAAAAGATCAAGAGGAGCTGGATCAATTTAATGTACCAAGTACAATTGTCTTTCGCCGGGACATTCGCTCACTTTTCTTCAAGGAACCAACAGGCTGGGTGCCTATCCAGGTATAACTGTTACATAACTGAACATGACACACTTAAGGTCTCTTAACATCAGCAGATTGCATTGTCTGTTTAAATATATTGCTACATTGGGTTGGGAGCTATACATGAATTATCACCATTTGAAATGTTAATATTTAGATCACAGCCAGAAATACTTGCTCACTGCACAACAATTAAACAAGCATATTAATACGTATATTTTTTTGATCATCAAAACTAGCTGGCTCCTCCACATTTCACGGGCTACTGTGGAGATGGGACGGTGCAGGAAGAAAATGGAGAAGAATGTGATGATGGAAATGATGTCAGCTCTGACACCTGCATAGGTAGGTCCACCGCTTGAAAAATGTGTTGTTGGAAAGCATACTGTTTGTGCAAAAACGAGCCCAGAATTGTTGTTTCAGCCTGTCAAAAGACCTCTTTAAATGTGCCAGGCTGCAAGAAGTCATTCTGTGGCGATGGCCACCAGCAAGAAGGAGAGGAGGAGTGTGACAAAGAGGACTTTGGCTTCCACACCTGTGGGACTTATCTTCCTGGGTAAGGCCTTGCTGTCCTGAATTACGAATGGTATTCTTTGAAGTTTAGAAATACTGTTTGGATTAATGAAAAATATTGCACAAACATGTTTAATTATTTCTGGAATGCATATGTTCAAAAGTCACATCCTAAACATGAAACATGAAGATGGGGTGGTTGTCATCTTGATTAGTTGCCCTGAAAGTGGCAGTAATTGCACATTCGCTTGGAGGGGACCAATATTTTATGGGAGAGCCACTGTTAACTTCCCACAAAGTGGTAATCATATTTTGACTCCAGACAGATGATGGGTCGTTGATCCCTCATCGGGATTTGAACTTGTAACCTTCTGAATGTGCGTTGAGTGTTCTGCCACAGTGCCACCTGTCCAGATATGAAATGTCATAGGATTAAATACATGTACATTGATATTGCTTTCATCGTGTAGTGTTAAAGTATGTTTTTTTGCATACAATATGTTTTACATCATTGTTGTTTGTTTTTGTTTCACATCACTTTTCTCCCCAGATCCTATGGACAATTAAGATGTACTATTTACTGTCGCATAGACTCAACCAACTGCCGGTTCTTCACGTGATGACAGTTTTAATCAACAAAAGCGTCATTATTCTATGTGTCAGTACATGGTGCTGTGTGCCAAAAAAATTCGAATAAGTAATTCGTCATTTTAAGTGCATGTCAAATGCAAGTCTGGAGCACTACACTTCCTGCAAAGGTGAATAGAGTAATTCCGTTTATTTATCTGCGTATGCTATACGGGCTCTCATTCACTCAGGAAAAAAAGTACTTAATCCGATTTTCTAAAATTGTAAATGTGCATTCATATCTGTATTCTGTGTTATATGACTTTCAAGGATGAAATCGTGTGAAACAGTTTTCTCATAAAAGGTGTAAAGTGATTCTCCACATATGACTTGAAAAAAGAAACGTACATTACATGTTTACAAAGAACAAACCTTAATTCCACCATACACTCTGGCTTTAATCAACATATCAGACTATCCATTGCACTATATTCGTTAAGCATTCTGTTAATTTTCTGTGTCCAATTATGACCAATCCCTGGCACAATTCAACCGAGATGGACAAAATAAGGTCATACTATCTTAATTATCTCCAGCAACAGTGTCCATTAAACTCTAACGCGGAAAAGATGAATAATCATGTTTAATAAGTGATACCTTTGAAAGCGAAAGATGTATTTATTAAAAAAATAATGATGATGAGTAAACGAAGTAGTATAGTGAGGGAAAAAAGTATTTGATCCCTTGCTGATTTTGTATGTTTGCCCACTGACAAAGAAATGATCAGTCTATAATTTTAATGGTAGGTTTATTTGAACAGTGAGAGACAGAATAACAACAACAAAATCCAGAAAAACGCATGTCAAAAATGTTATAAATTGATTTGCATTTTAATGAGGGAAATAAGTATTTGACCCCCTCTCAATCAGAAAGATTTCTGGCTCCCAGGTGTCTTTTATACAGGTAACGAGCTGAGATTAGGAGCACACTCTTAAAGGGAGTGCTCCTAATCTCAGCTTGTTACCTGTATAAAAGACACCTGTTCACAGAAGCAATCAATCAATCAGATTCCAAACTCTCCACCATGGCCAAGACCAAAGAGCTCTCCAAGGATGTCAGGGACAAGATTGTAGACCTACACAAGGCTGGAATGGGCTACAAGACCATCGCCAAGCAGCTTGGTGAGAAGGTGACAACAGTTGGTGCGATTATTCGCAAATGGAAGAAACACAAAAGAACTGTCAATCTCCCTCGGCCTGGGGCTCCATGCAAGATCTCACCTCGTGGAGTTGCAATGATCATGAGAACGGTGAGGAATCAGCCCAGAACTACACGGGAGGATCTTGTCAATGATCTCAAGGCAGCTGGGACCATAGTCACCAAGAAAACAGTTGGTAACACACTACGCCGTGAAGGACTGAAATCCTGCAGCGCCCGCAAGGTCCCCCTGCTCAAGAAAGCACATATACATGCCCGTCTGAAGTTTGCCAATGAACATCTGAATGATTCAGAGGACAACTGGGTGAAAGTGTTGTGGTCAGATGAGACCAAAATGGAGCTCTTTGGCATCAACTCAACTCGCCGTGTTTGGAGGAGGAGGAATGCTGCCTATGACCCCAAGAACACCATCCCCACCGTCAAACATGGAGGTGGAAACATTATGCTTTGGGGGTGTTTTTCTGCTAAGGGGACAGGACAACTTCACCGCATCAAAGGGACGATGGACGGGGCCATGTACCGTCAAATCTTGGGTGAGAACCTCCTTCCCTCAGCCAGGGCATTGAAAATGGGTCGTGGATGGGTATTCCAGCATGACAATGACCCAAAACACACGGCCAAGGCAACAAAGGAGTGGCTCAAGAAGAAGCACATTAAGGTCCTGGAGTGGCCTAGCCAGTCTCCAGACCTTAATCCCATAGAAAATCTGTGGAGGGAGCTGAAGGTTCGAGTTGCCAAACGTCAGCCTCGAAACCTTAATGACTTGGAGAAGATCTGCAAAGAGGAGTGGGACAAAATCCCTCCTGAGATGTGTGCAAACCTGGTGGCCAACTACAAGAAACGTCTGACCTCTGTGATTGCCAACAAGGGTTTTGCCACCAAGTACTAAGTCATGTTTTGCAGAGGGGTCAAATACTTATTTCCCTCATTAAAATGCAAATCAATTTATAAAATTTTTGACATGCGTTTTTCTGGATTTTGTTGTTGTTATTCTGTCTCTCACTGTTCAAATAAACCTACCATTAAAATTATAGACTGATCATTTCTTTGTCAGTGGGCAAACGTACAAAATCAGCAGAGAATCAAATACTTTTTTCCCTCACTGTAGCTAACATTGTAAACATAGCATGATTGATCTGCAGTGTGTCACTTTCAAGTATTTAATTGTACTCAATAGAGTATGGGTGTTAGAACGTGATGTAATTACAAATGTAAATTGTATGCTTTTACTGTATTGTAATGGCAAAATGTGTCGTTTCATTATACAGTACGCGAACAGTAATACTTGTTACGGGTATATTCATTTTTCAGTATTTTCTTGGTTTTTCATTGTGCCATTATATATTTTACATGTACACAAATACTGTGCACGTTTCCCAATTCATATTGCCCGTGTATGTGAGCTAATCTTGCGTGCAGAAGCAAGATTGATTGAGATGGAGTGTGGCATTGCAAGGCTGGGAGGGATGGCAACAATGAGGGAAGCCCTTGATTCAGCAGTGGATTGATCATGGATGTTGATGGTTATTTATCCAAAGCAATGTATATGCCCGTTATGTTAAAAATGCACTACTAACAACTGTGATATCTAGCTTAACACATTCAGAAGAATTAATGTGAATCTGTACTTCACGTAGAACTAGAAAATCGGATTATTATTTTGAGCTCATTTTAAATGTCTTAGCTATTTCACCACAGAAAAAATTCAGTGAAGATACATTTTTATTTTGCTTGTGTAAAATGATGCAATATGAAACGTTATGAACTTTAATAATGTAATGCATCACAAGTGAACCAGTTTTATAAATGTGTCATGACATTTGCTCTATTTTAAAAGTATATATTTAAAATGTATAAATTTCATAACTTTGTTTCCATCTAATGTAATCATGTCTAAAATACATACATTACAATGGTCATGCTGAGTAAAATCATTTGCTGCACAACTGCAGTGTATATTTGTGTTATGCTGTCCATTTTTACATTGCGAGGTAAAACTGCTGTATCAGTGGGAAGGGCCTAGAGCTGACAGGTGAAATATTAATATGGACACTGAGGCAAGCCTATAAAAGCTATGACTAATGTGGGGTCCTTATTGATGATGCTCTTTTCCCTTTTTTCTGTTGCTGATCCCATTAGATGATTGCTGCTCTTGAATCGACGCACTTGCAATGTTTAAAAAAAAAAACATTTTTTTAGATTTGTTGCAGTTGTCTAACTCCCAACAGTAGAATAGGCTTGTACATTTTTCACCATGCACCAGCTGAAAAAAATGCTTCTTTATCTAGGTCATGTATGGTGAACTTGTTTTGCATCGTACGTAGCTAACCATGCTAATTGGAGGTGCCGGGGATGGACAACAAACTAAACACAAAATCAGTTTTAAAGAAATTAGTTTTCAATTTAGATTTAAAAGTGCATAGCTGCAGTGGCTTCTTAATATCGGAAGGAATTGCGTTCCAGGCGGCCGCAGTCAATAATTGTAATCCTGCAGCTTTAACATGGCACCGTGAATTTGCTGGGGATTTTAAAGTAAAAGCACAACATTATCTTTTCTTAAAAATTGTAAACTATTTGAAAACAAAAACATGTTCATGCACAATCATGAATTCAAAGTGCAGTAATGCAGAAATTCTGCTGATACTGTATGCACAATAACGATGATACACGTACAAAATTAGTTTTTTTTAATGTAAGTGTTTAATTTAGCTTTACACAAAATAAAAATACTGTACACGGATATAATTACTGATGATCAATAGCTCTCGAGGGCCAAGAAAGCCATAGCAAATGACATACAAGAGACAAATTGCTGATCTCTCGGTTTGGTGTAAGTAGCAAAGCAACTATATCATTCGGGTTGCGTTAACATAAATTTAATCAAAAAAGCTATGCTCATGGGAGAAGGGATGTTTTTTTTGCCACTACGGCTGTTGGTGATTCACTCCGTTGAACGTAACAGAGAGTAAGCACCACCTTGCTAAAGGCCGCACACGTACGAGCTGACCGATGCGTTCAATGGTTATGTGTCCATGGAAATGGCACCAGCTGGTTCCTTCCTGTGAAACCCGAACCTTGGCTCTCTATCCATCATGTGTGAAATTCACCGTCTACAAGTTCACTTGCTTGTAACACCACACATACCTGCTTTCAAAATATACTATTCACAATTTTTTTTAACAATGCATATGAACATGGCATGTGGTTGGTGGATTATTTTTTTCACTTTGTTCAGGGGCTGCCCCCCCCCCCCGCGGGATGATGGCAAGAGTACGAGTAAGCATTTGTATTTTCAGCAAGGAAACAGGGATGGAAATATGTAAATAAAACCGTGGCCAAAATTGTGTATGGGTGTATTCTTAGCAACATAAACTTCCAGTTACATAGACAATTCAGTATTTTCACGATGAAAGATTTTTACAAATGGTAATTCTACCTAATCTGATAGAAGTAAATGTTACCCTTCTCCACAGAGATTATCTTGTTTAGATGTGATAAATTACTTTATATTTCTAGCAACAGTGACTGCCTTAACAGTTGGAAAAGAAGGGATATCATACAGGTAGGAACAACAGGTTCCACACTGCCCACCAGGGATTATTTGTCTGTCGTGCATATTTGTCGTGCACGAATGCGCTGTCCAACCAAGTTCCTATCTGCCCACTCCGAAGGAACGTGTTGATTTTCTGTAACTTTACATGTTTTTTTATGGGTATAATTTTCACCTCTTAGCTTCCCCCACCCCCTCTCCTATAATTTTATGAATTGTCATAAATCAGGGTCGTGATTCCATCCAAATCTTTTAGCGGTCTCTAGCGGCTACAATTATCATGTA